TGCAACATTAATTTAATTTTTTTGTTCTCTCCTGTTTGACTCAGACAAAAATGTTGAACTGGAGGTAAGTGGGGGGTCTGTGTGTGTGTGTGGGGGGGGGTTGGTGTGTGTGAAGTGAAGACAGGAACGCCACAACACAGTTCAATCCTGGTTCAGATTCTGATCTCTCTGCATGTGTTCACTCAAATGGAGCAGGAGCCACGGTTTGACAAACATTTACTTTAATGCCTGTGTCCATTTTTTCTTTTGGGGGGGGTGGCGGGGGGGTTGTGTTTGTGCCCTGGGCTCTGATCAGTCGGCCCCATCGAAGAAAAGCAGGAGAAGATGGAAGTGGACTCTGTGAAATCAGGGATTTGAACCCTCTCAGCGCCGACGTCTCCGTCCGTCTGAACATGTTTTTCTGACACTTCTGATTAAAACTACAACAAAATTAAACTTTTATAGCTCAGAATGTATTGAATTGCAATTAATGACCACGCAGTCTTTATGCTTACTGGACTTTCTTGGAATAAAAAAAAATAAAGATGTTCAAGTTCCACAGTTCAGAGTTTTCTGTTTCTATGAACCAAAAATGACAACAGGGTTTGAACACGTGACCCTTCACTGACCCAGACACGTCACTCTGTCAGTCCCACCACCACTCCACATGTTGGACATATCTCCAAACCTCCTCCTTAAATCTACAATCATCCACCCTCCCCCCCGACTCTCTTCACATCCAAACACTTTTGCTTTTACTAATTAAAAAAAATCAAATTTTTTAAAGTATTGACTGAGTTCTTGTTGTTTGGATTAGATTAGATTAATCAGATTATATCAAATTCAACATTGTTGTCTCAGTTAAATCAATGGATACATCTGACTAAAAAAACATTAAATAAGGCTAACAGCGACCTCAAGTGGACAACAGATAGAAACACAGTCAAGGCAGTGACGACTTACACTGAGGTTCCAGATTTAAAAATGTTCCAATATTTGTGATTTCTAGTGAAAAAATAATTTCTAGAGAACTCCATAGAGACAAATGTTAATGACGTCATTAACTAAATATATATTGTTTTACAGCACTATCATGTCAGAGGTGGTGAAGTTTTAACATGAGGATTAAAACATAAATTAGAACTCACTGCAGGAGCTCGTGGTTCTGTGCACATTAATGCACAGTTCTTCTAATTGGCCTCACGAGGCAGCGGCGTGCACGCGTCCTGTCGGAGCTGCTGTCAATCAAACCGCATCTTTAAAATCAGCTGCAGGAGCTGGAACATTCTGTCTCAGGTTGAGCCCAGAGACTGACAGACTGAGCGACTGACAGACTGAGCGACTGACAGACTGAGCGACTGACAGACTGAGCGACTGAGCGACTGACAGACCGAGCGACTGACAGACTGACAGACTGAGCGACTGACAGACTGAGCGACTGACAGACTGAGCGACTGACAGACCGAGCGACTGACAGACTGACAGACTGAGCGACTGACAGACTGAGCGACTGACAGACTGAGCGACTGACAGACTGAGCGACTGACAGACTGAGCGACTGACAGACCGAGCGACTGACAGACTGAGCGACAGACAGACAGACTGACTGACAGGATCTTCTGTGATCACTGACAACATCTTAAAGTTATCGTTGTGACTGTTTTTCCTGAATCTCCAACACATTCCTGGAGAAATGGAGAAGTTGGGTGGAACCAACAGCACAGAACCTCTACAGAACCTCACTGCAGACCAGTGGCTGGTCAATGAACGGGGCTCACTCCAACACCTGACGCCCGGGGGGCTGAGGGTCCTGCTGCCCACGGTCCTGGGGGTCGTCTGCGTCCTGGGAGTCGCCTGTAACCTTCCCGCCGTGGCCTCTCTCTTTTCAAATGCCCACAGGGGAAAACTGTCGCTCATCAACTCCCTCATCTTCAACCTGATGTTGGCGGACGGGCTGGTGCTGATGTTCGTGATGCCCTTCAGAGCCGTCTTCTACTCCAGGTCCAGCTGGGACCTGGGCTGGGCCACGTGTAAGACGGCCGACTGGTTCCTTCAGTCCTGCATGGCGGCCAAGAGCTTCACGGTGGCAGTCATGGCCAAAGCCTGTTACCACTACGTGTCCAACCCCACCAAGCAGGTGAGCATCCACCTGGGCTCCATCCTGGTGGTGCTGCTCTTCATCTGGGTCTCCGCCTGCACCGTCACCGTGCCTCACTGGCTGTTCGCCTCACTGCAGAGAGGAACCCGTGGCGTGGCGTGCGTGCTGCTGGTCCCTCCTGAAGCCCGGGACTTTATGAGCGTGTACGTCAAAGCCTACCCCCTGACGGTGTACTGCGCCCCCCTCAGTGTCGCCCTGGTGTACTTCTGGAAGGCTTACGGCCAGTGCCAGCGCCGCTCCAGTAAGACTCAGAATTTGCGGACCCAGATTAGATCCAGGAGGCTGACGCTGATGTTGTTCAGCCTGACGGTGGCCATGGCCGCCCTGTGGCTGCCTCAGTGGGTGGTGTGGCTGTGGGAGTGGCACGTGGCAGAGAAACAAGGTGAAGGGGCTCAGCCTCTTCCCTCCAGCCCCCCCGTTCTCCTCGTCCTTTCGGCTCATCTTCTCTCCTTCTCCATGTCGCTGGTCAACCCTCTCGTCGTCCTTTCCCTCTCTGAGGAGTTCAGGGAGGGGTACCGGGGGCTGTGGAGACGCCTCACCCTGCGCAAGCAACCTCCGGCCCAGCCGAAGCCTGGACCTCACAACCCGACCGTCGTCCGCTCGCCGAGCCCCCGACCCGAGACCTCAGGTGAGCCGCGTGGACAGAGATACGTTCAGTCCGGTTTCAGTCGAGATCTGGGACCAGAAGGTCAATATCGGCCAGAACAAGGTGTAGGACGGGAGGGGGGGGACATAGACCGGGTGAGTCTCAAAGATGGGATCGTGCTGTCGGATGTAGAACAGTTCTGGCACGAGAGGGAAACGGGATCAAAGAAATGGGAAAACGATCCGGTGCCGTGGGAACAAGAGAGCAGAGAGGGCTGATCATCTTCATCATCATCTTCATCATCATCATCATAACTACACCTGACTCCATCAACTGTTTGTATGTTGTAATATAACAGAGAGAGAAGATCAGAAGTGTAGAAAAGTGTGTCATCTGCATAACTTTAACAAACACTGACTGTTCATATAATAAATATATCTTTACATCTATACACATATAGTCAAATGAGTTCCACTGTTATGATGTTCATATTAACAGATGTGGAAAAATTGTGGTTTTACCAATGAGGAACGTTTTAAAAATAAAAATAAATCATATATTTCTGTGACTGTTGTGAAACGATGCAGTGACTCAACGTTTGTCTCCTGCAGTTTAAGAAAAAACATTGTTTGATTTTGTGAAACGGCTCAATAAAAAATGTGTTGAAAAAAAAGTCTGAGTAATAAATCTTAACATTGGATAATTTTATATAAATACTGGTGATAAACAGCACTGAGGCTGAGCTGATCTTTGATTGGTCAGTCAGTCTGTCTGTCTGTCTGTCTGTCTGTCTTAGCTGTGCACAACAGTGAAGCTCCATGTAAATACAGCTCTATGGAATATACTGAACTGTACAGAACTGCACCGTGCTGTACCATACCGTACCGTACCGTACTGTACTTCTATACATACTTATGTAGGTAATGTAAACAGGAGACAGGGAGGGACACTTGTCCCCAGGAGTCCCACAGACGGCAATCCCCTCAACACTCTGTCATTGATGACATTTCCTGCTTCTTAATTATTTACGTTGACCTTTCAGTCACTTCATCAGAGACGCCCTCCACTTTATAATCCACCATCAGTCCCCGGGGTCGTGACCCGGCCTCAGGCCCCGAGATCAGAAATGGAACTCAGCCATTGTTGTAAATGTTAACCATCAGAGAATCAGCAGAAATAATTGATGTTAAATATGTATGAAGACACACACACACACACACACACACGGTGACACCACTGGCATTTACACAGTTAAAAGCAGCCGATTACCATCAAACAGTCCTGGTGTCTGGACCTGAAGTGACTCCAGTACGAACTCTGCTCTGACACCAGATCAATGGAAACGTTAAAATAAACATAAATAAAGTGAAAATTCAGTTCCAGATAAAAAGAATAAAAATATAAAATCACTCAAAGACATCAGCAAAGTATAAAATATTTTGGTGCTCAACATGAGTAACGTAAACATCTGGTTCTGGTATTTTTTTGTTGTGTTTGTTAGATCCCCCCCCCTCAGCCCCCCCCCAACAGAGACTGTTGTTTCTTTAACGTTCTGGTCTTAGAGGTGAGACCGTCGACCACCCGCTGACAAAAAAAATCACTCTGATTTCAAGTGGAAAATAAAGCAGTTAATGAGGTATTTATTCAAAGCAGCAGGTGAGATCCTCTCATTACTGCCCCCCCTGGCTGTGTCCTGCTCCTGCTGTGAGGGGAGCTGGGGGGGTCAACCCCGCGTTTTATCCCTCAGCCAATCATCTCTAATGAATGAAACTCCACAGGAAGTGACACGTTGGTTGACACTAATTATACTCAGCAGGAGAGACTGGCTGCAATTATGCCACGCACTCAAACCTTTGGCTACTAGCGCCCCCTTCAGGCCCCACAGAAGATGACATGGTTTTATTTTAATAATTATGAATATCGAACTTTATTGTCAGCCTTTGGTTCAGGATCATCTAAAACCTATTTTGTATCGAAACCGCGTTGACTCTCATTCAAGGTAACGATTGTGAAAACCAGCAGATAATGACGTCACAGCGTCAGTGGACGTGAACCTGTGACCTGTGACGTGTGTGTGAAACATGTACCTGAATATTTTGAAGCACACCTTTACACATTCATAAACAGTGAAAGTTTAAACCGTTAATACTTACACTTCCGGTGAAGTGTCTCGGTCATCGGTCCATCCGGTCTCAACACCGACAGCAGTGAGAAAAACTACCGACTCTCTGTCGACTCGTCAGGTCAGGCGTCACCTTCAAAAGGTTCACGACGATAAAAATAAAAAATACTCTCGTTACTTTGTCTTTTTTTTCCCTCGTCGTCAACGGTAAAACTGAATGTTGTTTAAACACCCGCGCCGACGACTTTGTTTTTCTAACGTCACGCTGAATCCTGTCTGCCCATGCGCAGTAAGATGGACGGATCCATTGCACGGGGGGAGG